TTCGGGAAAAAAACGTCATAGGCATGTTTTTGGGGTTGAACTATACTACCAGTTAAAATACTTGCACTTATTTCTGGGACACCCTGTATATAAAACGTATCGTAAGACATTATCGCACATTCTGGCTGGCGGAAAATTTAAATTAGCCATTATTAGTAGCGATGGGAACTATCGAATGAATTAGACTATCGAATGGTTACTGAATGCATGATTTCAACTATCGAATGGTTTCATTCGAATAAAATCATTCATTCATTTGTATAATTAAGCATATATGACAACCTCGCCGTGCGACTAAATGATTATCGTTAAGCCACGACTATCGAATGCTTTTTATAAATGAAATTTAGTATTCGTTTGATTTTTGTTTGCGTCAGTGCATTATTAGTCCTTCGAAATTTTTATAACTTGCCTTTTAAATACTGTGCTATTTTTGCGTTTATTAAAATATTTAAAATACTAAAGTAGTAGTGTTTTTTTTTAAATTGATGATTGTGTACGTGTGCAGGTCGTCAAAAATTTTCCGAAAATTTGTGTGATTTTCCGATCTTTCAATTATTTAATTTTATACGGTATATGGTCTATTTTTTTAATGGGAAATTTTGAGAAGTAACAATTTTTAAGAGAGATGAGGTGAACTTACATTTAATTTTAAAAATACATATGTATTTGTATTTTAGATGTTTTAGTAATATGAATTAGTTGAACTTAATAATCATATTTAAGTAATGTGGTAATGTGGTTAAGTAAATGGTTATCGAACTCAAATTTTGGGATGGGAAAATTAAATTGATTGATTAAAGTTTTACACGTGCCAATTTAAAAAAGTTAACGATATTTGTATTTTGTTTATGCTAATTCTCTTACATGTAGATTTTTGCGAAGAAATATTTTATTTATTTTTAAAGTAAATGCCAGTAAAGCAAATATTATTTTTAAATACTAATACAAAGTAATAAAAGTAATACATATATAATTATTTTGATTTCTAATTTTTTATTTATATTTTTCTTCTATTACACTGCATGCTTAGAAAATTAATAAATGTTTATATTTCATGATTTTAAAAATTGTTTTTAATATAACAAATTAGTTCTGTAATTATTATTATTTAATAAACCAACGTTGCCACACAAAAAAATTAGAGACTATATTATTTTTAAATAGGATCTAATATAAATAATTTGGCTTCTAATTTGTTGTTTATATTTTGCTACTACTTAAAAAATGTTTATATTAAATGATTTTAAATTTTTTTGTTAATAGGTATAACAAATTATTACTGTTATTATTATTTATTAAACCAGTTTTGCTTAAAAACATTAAAAATCATTTTCCTACATCCAATATAGTCATACTATCCCTAACTAACTATAATACCAAAGAATAATATTCTTTGCTAATACCAACTAATACGAATATACGGCAACAGCGCGGTTTATAATGTATTTTCTGTGTAAATACTAGCACCTCAATAAAAAAAATTATGTGTCCTTATATTTATCTGACTCAAAATCAAAGATGCCGGCTTTTTTCATACCATTGCCACCTACCGCTGTCGGGTTTCTAGGAAAGAAACCTACGTCGCCGGGCGACAACTAAAATCCAGTTTATATTTTATTATAATCGATCCTGACGAATAAATGATTTTTACAAATGAATGAATTTTATAAATGAATGGTTTTTCCTGCCGAATTAATATATTTCAAGGCAGATGACGCATCTATTCGATATTTTTATTCGAATAGTTTTCGACGAATGTTTTCTTACTAGCTATCGAATTATTCGAATGAATTGCAACTATCTAATGTTTCGATAGTATTCATTCGATAGTTCCCACTACTAATTATTAGTAGTATTCTTTCATTCTGAAACTGAAAATTTTCACTTAAACTGATTTATTCCCTATAACACGTAAATGTAACAAAAATCATGGTGTAGGGAATAAATCAGTTTAAGTGAAAATTTGCAGTTTATTCAGAACGAAAGAATACTACTATTATAAGGGAAATTATAAAAATAGCAAAAATTGTACTGTTTTATAAACATATTTATTTATACATAAAAATAAATAAACTTTTTATAATATAATAACTAAAAATAACAGTGTTTATTCCACCCACCTACCAATTTTAAATGCAGAAGAACTGACTTTCGGAAACGATCGGCCAATTTTTTTAAAGGACATTAAAAATCTCATTTTCGAAAAAACTGCCTAATTGCCATAACAAAGTGAATATCCAAGCAAAGAAGACTTTATGAGAATCATGATCCTGAACCATTTTCAAGTCCAGTTTTAATCCTAAAACAAAAGTAAAATAGGTATATTAATAAAGTTTCTGGTTACTATAAACCAGCTATAAACTACCTACCCAAAAAGTTAAAAAAATTAATTGTATTAATTTGTTATGTTAAGAGAGGTTCGAAATATTTTTGACACTACTACTTCTACTTTTTTCTTAATAAGATGATAAATATAACTACACTTACTTTTATTTTACCGGGTGCCTTTAACATATCTATCAGAGAAAGGGGGCACTGATGCCTATAGAAAATAGATGATACTGGCTCCTGCAGCAAATAAAATAACAAATAGTATAACCTAAAATTATAAGTAACAAAATATAAATACCTATATGGAACAAAGGAATTTGTTCCCTATCCATATTCATAAGTCAATACAATGGAGAGTTTAGAAAAAAAGGTAAATCACCTAAAGAAAAATTAACAAACATGAGGAGTTGTCATGATGTTGTCATCTTGGTTGTCATGATGACGAAAACGAAAGGCGATTGTTCTAATTTCTATTTAGAAATTACGTTTTATATGGCTGCTTTTTTCTCTCTTGTTATATTAGAATGAGATAGTGGGCCCAATAGACGCAATGCGCAGATCAACATAAATAGAACGAAATTTTGCGTTCTGAGTTGCGCTACGGGAACGTTGTCCCTCTCTTTGCCATTTAATTTGCCAGTCTCTTTTTATTTGTTTGTCTATGGCAAGGATATATAGAATAAGGATATTCGACTGGCCCAAAAAAAACGTGCCGTATTTTGTCGAGGAAGTCGATTTCGTCACGACCAATGGGCGTCGAGTATTTGAAATTGAAAACATATAAATTGACGGTAACCTATGTTTTTTGACTCATTTCACTGACAAATGTGATGAGATTGTTATTGTAATTTATAGATCCAAAATCCAAACGTTTTTTGAATAAATAATTTATTTTAAAGTTATTTCCTAGAGGTTTGGTTTGGCCTTCTATATTCTGGTATTTGTCTACTAATAAATAATATCTTATTTTGTATTTCGATGTATGGAAATTCGCAAGTTTTGTATCTGAAGCCGCAAAGAAATTTCGCTCTGTAGTGAGAAAAATGTTATTATATCTTTTTAGACGTGTAGAATTACAAAATTTCTTATTTCAGATGTTCTAAATGTGAGTGCTTAATGTCAAAAATTAAAATATATACTTGAAATATTATTTCAAGTTACATGCTTTGACATTGTTTGGAAGTAAACAAATATTGAAGAAAGTGTTGTGCCTTCACAGAATTTAAATTGGCATTAGGAATAGATTTCCTTGATTTAGTAATGATATTGCTCATAGAAATTGATGATATACTATTTTATATTCACTCGTTCAAGTGCTGATCTATTTTTAAATTGAATATTTATGTAAATATTATGTATAACACGATATAAATAATTTAAGGACATAAGAAATTAATATTTCAAGTGTCAATATTGATTATTTTTCCAGTTTTATTCAAATATATTGAAATTAATATGGAAACAAAAGTTCATAAATATTATTCTTAATAACAAGAATTGAGATTTGGGGATAAGTTTGAAAAGCCATGTCAGAAGAGTAGGATTAAAGACAAGTATTAAGGTAACATATATTTACATAAAGTTTTAATAACACTGACAATTTTATTTGTTTATGTTTATTAATTAAAATTTAGTTGCAATTTATTTCATATTCTAATATTTTTGAGAAAATTTTACTTTTATACATACCTGAATATTATGCTGCTTTTTTATTTTAAAGTGTGCCGACTGTGCTGTTATTTTTATACTAATAATATTGTATACTGTAGGTATCGTATTCATATATAGTTATATATATATATCAGTAGTAAGATACTTACTTTCTTTCTATGCGTACTTATATCCTTTATAGTCTTTCTAAGTGCATATAATACTACTTTTTTAAGAGAAGGCAGTTTTTAATAATCTATTGTTAATTCCCCTAATTCTGTGTCCCCTGGTTCTGCTATACAACAATTATATATTTTTTTATCATTACTGATTTTAAAAGTTTCTTTTCAAAGAATTTGACCATATATTTTTTTTTCAGAGTAATTGGGCTGTTCCTGAACAATATTGAATATAAATATTCAAAAATATGATAAACTGCATATCCTACTAAGTAGATCAATACCAAAATTCCATTAGAGAAATAAGTTAAAATTATGTTTTACTTGTATAATTTTCTTGCTATTTGTCCACCATTATTTGTGACTTAGAAATTAAATAGTCAAAAAGAATTTAGTACCAGTTTTTATTTCCCAAAAAAAATAATTGTTAAATAATTACATATTGCTTAAGATACAGTATATTATATTGTGTTTATAGTTGATAATTCTAGTTCTTAGTTGTTTATAGTTGATAATTAACAATATTTCTGATGTTAGATATTATATTAGATAAAAAATTTAATTACCAACAGCTACCTACCTATGTAGCTGCAGATTATTATATTGTGTAGTAGGTACTGTATAATTCTTTAGTTCAAGAAACAAATATCAGTACAAGTATATAACCAAAAAAATGTTGATGCAAATTCTTTGTATAACATACGTACCCCTATGGTATTCAACTTTTCATTGTTCTTTTAATTAGATACACAATAAGCATATTAATTCGTTTATTAAACAACCAAACTAACTACTTAAATTCACAATATAAATATCACAATAAATGTATAAGCTTTGATCAATTCCTATTATTAATACCTGACGACTTCATACTTTATAACTACCAATGGCTATCCTACTAACACACTAGCCAACTAATAATAAATCTGTTCTAAAAAAAATACAACATAAAGACATCGTTATTGCAATAATATAGAAATATATTCCGTGTATCATTATCTACCTATAAATACAATACCCACATCTTCTTTTACGCGAATAGTGCGTTAGGAGGCAGAAATATTGCCTACATTGTACATCGTACAAATTGGCTAGAATTTATTAATATCCATTGCAAACATTTCTCTTTCAAAGGGTCTAAATGTTTTGTCTTTTTACTGTGTCCCTGTAATAAGTTATCAATTAACAACAGTTATCAAATATGACTTGGACAATAATAATTGTTTTACCTTTTTTTCAAACTAAACTCTTTAAACAAACTATATAAATAAAATTTATCTCATAACCTAACTTACTGCTAGAATTTCTTTCTTGTTATTCTATGTTCCTGTATTGTTATTCTTCACATTATCAATTTCTATGAGCAATATCACTACTAAATCAAGGAAATCTATTCCTAATGCCAATTTAAATTCTGTGAAGGCACAACACTTTCTTCAATATTTGTTTACTTCCAAAAAATGTCAAAGCATATTAACTTGAAATAATATTTCAAGTATATATTTAAATTTTTGACATGCACTCACATTTAGAACATCTGAAATAAGAAATTTTGTAATTCTACACGTCTAAAAAGATATAATAACATTTTTCTCACTACAGAGCGAAATTTCTTTGCGGCTTCAGATACAAAACTTGCGGATTTCCATACATCGAAATACAAAATAAGATATTATTTATTAGTAGACAAATACCAGAATATAGAAGGCCAAACCAAACTCTAGGAAATAACTTTAAAATACATTATTTTTTCAAAAAACGTTTGGATCTATAAATTACAATAATAATCTCATCACATCTGTCAGTGAAATGAGTCAAAAAAACATAGGTTACCGTCAATTTATATGTTTTCAATTTCAAATACTCGACGCTCATTGGTCGTGACGAAATCGTCTTCCTCGACAAAATACGGCATATTTTCCAACATAGCCCGCTATAGGGAGTTGAATATCCTTCTTCTATATATCCTTGGTCTATGGTAAAAAGTGCTCGCGTTTACTTGACAGGGCAAACTGACTTTTCAGAAAAAAATGTGACAAATGTCATAGTTAGAGGTGTTAAAGGTGGGCGACTAATAAACGAAAATTAAAACAGCATTTTCTTATTTTTCGGTTGTAGATAAAACGTTGTACATCACACGTGCGTTTAAACATGATTAGGACCACACTCGTGTGATTAGAACGTTCGCACTCGTTATTGTAATGATGTTCATAAACACACTTGTACTGTAAATAACTATTTCAGTAACCGTGGTCCGTAATAATAAAATTTTCAGGCAACTTATAAAAACTTAAAAAACCCTAACTGAGGTTAGTAATGCAATACATCTTTTGTGTATATACTTAAAGTAAAGATTTCAGTTAACGTCTCCTTTTTGCTGCCAGGGCTAATCTGGACAGGGCCTACTTTGTTTACGCGGTCACCCGTCCATCCACTAGTATCAACTTACGTCGTTTAACTTCGGTGTTCTAATGGGAACCGGTGTTTTGACGTAGCTAGGCCTTTGCCTGTATATACTTAGAAAGGCTAAATTGAAAAATGTTTTACAAAAACCGCCCATGTTCAAAAAAATTGCCTACGTTTCGATTTTTTACACCGTATATTTTAAAATTACATTCCCTCGGTACTCTCATGAAAAATATACCTCTTTCCATATCATGTCGCTGAATTTATTAGTCGTAAGAGAAGCCGATGGAGCGTATCGGACGGTTTCGATCATGATGCACATTTAGCCTCATTTGTAATAAGTATCAGATCACGAACTGCCCATTTTACTAAGAGCATCTCTTTAAGAAATTGATTTATAATAGCGCGCACTTGCATGATCTCCCGTGATCTTTAAAAACACAATCGTGGTTTGGGTTTTTCAGTCTGGGACGACAGCGATTTTATCGACCATTTTGTAGTGGATCCCAGAAATGTTGGTCTTATTTTGGACCAAACAGATACATAAAATGGCCCATATTTTGTGTATACCGGGTGCGCTTCAAAAGTTGATCACCCCTATATTTTTTTAATTTTTTTAGATAAAAAACGAGATTTGGTATATTAGTGTATGACATACATTAGGATTGATTTATGTATTCAATTGTTTTTGGCCACTTCCTGTTTCACCTGAAATTATTACAACTTTTGATTTTTAAATGGCATCCTCGGTATATTTTAATTTTATTCGGTAGAAAACGACTCTCTGAATAGAATGACATGTCATATGTCAACTTTTGACGTTTTCGCTTAAATCCAAATCGTATTTTAAATTTCAATCTAGAGTGCGATGCCTGTGTTAAAAACATTAATTTTTAATCAAGGACCCTTGCAAAAATAGATTTGACTATCTAATGTTTTTTGTGTCTTGTTCTGGCCGCCTTTTCGTAACGAGCGTACGCTATCGCAAGACAAGTTGAGCCGAACTCGTCTTGATATCGAGCGTTGGGCGGGTTGGTTAGCGTGGTTATTTGGAGGATGTTAATTCGTTGGTTAGTCATATGTAATCATATGATTAATTATTTCTTTAGTATTTTCTTATCTTATTACATCAGCGTACACAAACAATGTGAAAACAAAAACAAAATGGAAAACTTTGCCGCAACGCATATTATATCGAGCGCGCGTCTAGGAATGCATGACAAATGCGATAAAGTACGCTCGATATAAAATCAATGTTCGCATTATTTCGGGTAGTTTTGGCTTAACGTGTCTTGCGATAGCATAGGCTCGTTACGAAAATGTTTGCTTAAAAAATCATCCTATTTTAAATTTCAGTCCGGAGTGGGTGTCTTAAAAACACTAATTTTTAATCAAGGAGCTTTGGAAAAACAAATTTGATCGTCTAATGTTTTTCGTATCTTGTCCTGGCCGGTTAAAAGATGCCCAAATCGTATTTTTAATCATATCTCAATTTTTTCAAATGGAACTAGGGTGGCTCATTCGCATATTTGGAAGAAGTATTTTTTTACAAATAATTTGGTACCACACACCTATTTCGAGTCAAATTGTCGTTATGAACCGCATGTTACAATGTCAAATAAACCATATGCGAAAATGTCAAAAGTTGATGTGATATTGTTATTCTATTCAGAAAGTCATATTCTATCGAATGAAGAAAGAAAATTCCGAGGGTGTTATTTAAAAATCAAAAGTTGTAGTCATTTCCGGTGAAACAGGAAGTGACCAAAAACAATTTAATTTATGTCATATACTATCATACCAAATCTCGTTTTATTATCTGAAAAAATAAAAAAGTTAGAGGAAACAGCTACTTTTGAGACGCACCTGGTATAGCATTTAACAAAAAAACCTTTTTATATTTTACATTTCTGTCTTGTGACAGCGAGCTGACATTTTAAATTATTCGCTACAGGGGTATAGACATTATTAACACATCACTACTTATTCTATCACAAAATACGCTAATAAATAAATACCAATAATACTACAGCACATAAATAAAAGCATTAAATCCGAAAATATCGTATTTACACACGGATCCCTTTCTTTTCCTCCTCAACAACAAAAGGTCAAGAGACCGGAAAAAACACGAAACATACAACAGCCGAAATGAGATTCCGGACAAAGCCGTCCAGCTAAAAAATCGGTCCGTTTTCTATTTCTCGATCCTGATCGAGCATCGGTCGCGCGGCTTAAATCTCCGATGCGGGGCGCCGATCGCATCCGGCACCGCATTTCACCATTCGGACGTGCGGCAGCGACCGATGGCCGGCTTAAATTCCGCAAAAGAGCGCGGCACGTACGCTTGATAAATTAGACTAATCGCGGCTGAATGGAGAAAACATTTGCGTCGTTTTCGGGTGCGGAAGTTGTTTGAATTGATGACTGAGCTTCTGTTCATTGATAAATTATCATGGATTGTATATGATGTTAAAAGGTTCTTCGGTTGTAAATCGATTGATCTGTAAAATTCTCAAAAATCACGTATTTCTGCAAATTTCTCCTTAGATATGCCTTATTGTGCACCATGGTCCCCTACGTAAAAAAGCACCATCAAAAAGAAAACTTACAGGTTATTAAAATTACTAGGTAATAATGAAAAAAAAAATTGTGTGCACTATGTGCGCATATTTGACATGAAACTTCTTACTTTCGTCTGTCTATCCATCTGTCCGCCTGAGGACTCCATTCGGGTACTATAATTATGTTTATAGAGATACTCATCACTTGGTACTCCTAGATAAAGTATTGTATTGTTTAAAATAATGGTTCAGATGTATGAATTAATTTAATTCCTATTTAACCTGTAATAGTTCCAGAAATTTACAGGGTTGTTCACCACATACGACACGGAGTATTGTAGCTAAACGGTTAGATTTTTACAAATTGTAAGTTTTGGGTTCGTTGAAGGACTACTAGGGCTACAATTTAAAAATAATTTTACAAGATACACAGTGTCCCAAATAAGTAAAAAATAATATAGTTGTATTGAACACCCTGTATATTATTTTACTTTTAGATTCTATGATTGAAATAAAGGTAAGTTTTATTAAGGTTTATCACGCTTAAACCTTACCGTTTTTGAAATATTTTCAGTTTTATGAAATTGCAGTAAAAATTTTAAGACTTCATTTCTCCAAGGGTATCGAAATTTTTAAAACTAAATATTTACTGAAGTTTATTTATTGATCAGATATTATGTTGCCATAATAAACAAAATTCTACCTTATACAGAGTGGCTAAAAAATTATATTAAATAATTACTAGCTTTAAACGGCAATAACTTGTTTAATTTAAATACAACACCCTGTATATTTTACGAGAATCAGACGCACAATTTAATTGTCTTTCATTGTATTATACCATTTTTACCTATCTCTTCAAGTTTTCGAAAAAAATGAATTTTCTAATAATTTAGACCCTATTTATCACTATACCCATGGAATATTGACATTTTAGATTATTTTTAAAGATGTAACAAATTTTCAAAAAGCTCAGATACTAATATTGTCGATATATGTCGCTTATTTCATTAAAAGATAAATTCAATATGATTCCAGTATTCAAATCACATTAATTGACTGTTTACGTTGATTAATAATAATTGCTCCAAATACTAAAAAACTGAATTTTGTATGTGTTTTAGACAATGTGGTAAAAAGTAACACCTTATAAATTTTATTTCATTTTGTGACGAATGCTTATTTATAACAAGAGAGACGTTCATTTTCATAACTTATTATTGTATTGATTTCTGAGTCAAATACACATTTATTTAGAATAATTTATTAATTAAAACAATTAAGTGTGTAATTAACTAATTTTTGGGCGGAAATAATGGTGGTATGTTAATAATTAGT